AACTATATATCAAGAGCAACTATAAAGTCATGATAACCAAGGCAGTGTGATGTTAGCCACACTAATAATTCACCAGAATGGATTCCAAAAGAAAATTTACACACATCAATGTATGATTTATAATAAAAATGCCACTGCAACACAAAAATAAAAATGTATTCACTTCAATAAGTAATGGATCTAGTACAAAGCCAAGGAAAAATGTTTCTGAATTTTTTGTGTCATTCTGTGTGATACTGACTATTGAACCCAAGGCTTTTGATTAAACTATATCCTCAACCTTTCAAAAATTTTTATTTTAAGAGAGATCTTTCCAAGATGCTAAGTCCCTGAGGCTAGGCTTGAACTTGCAATTCTCTTGCCTCAGCCTCCATAAATGTGGGGATTACAGGCATGCACCACAGCACCCAGTCTGGGCTGTTACTTCACACACACACACACACACACACACACACACACACACACACACACACACAATCAATGCTAGATTGACAAAAGGTACAAATTTGAAAGATCAAACAATGACATTCATAAAGAAAAATTATATATTTTATGACCTTGAAGAAGTAAGTTTCTAAGCAGAGTACAAAATATACTAAACATCAAAATTGTTACAGTGGACCATATTAAAACTATGAACTATTTTTTCATTAAAATTTACCATTAAGAGAGTTTAAACTCAACCCACAGAGTAAGATAAGGTATATCACTTTAAAACTTATATATTTAACTGGAGATTTGATTCTAGAATATCAAACCATAAAAAATGATGAATAGCCTAACCAAAAAAAAATGGTTAATATTGAAAAGACTTTTCATAATATGATTATCAAGCTAGCCAGTATGTATATGAGGAGATAAATTTGTCACAAAGGATGGGAAGTTTAAAACCACAGAATTACTACAGTGGAAAGAGAATAAACATTGAAAGGTGTTAGTATGTAGATGCAATTAAACTTACATGCAGTAGAGGAGACACAAATTGTCATGACTATTTTTAAAACTTATCTGCAATATCAACTAACCTTTAAGTGGGTACATATCCTATGATCTAGAAATTCCATTCTTAGGTATAGAACTCCATGTAAATTCACCAACTGTTTATATTATATGGTATTTGTCATGGAAGCACTGTAAAAATAATCCCATCTGGAAACTCATAAATGGCTATTTATAGTGGATAAAAAATATTGTATATATTAACACAATGAAACATTACACAGCAAAAGGGCTGAAAGACATAAAATTGCTCTCAGTCAGAGGGTAAATCTCACAAAACAATGTCGACCTTAAGATTTGTTCAGTACCGTAACATTGGTTTGTTAGTTTGAAAACATGGATGCAGTACACAGCTTTCTAGGAGAATCTACTACTAGCATTGCCATTAAATTTTACTATATGCCAGTGAGAGAACATTTAAACAAACTATTGTACACTTGTAGAATGGAACATCTTCAACAACTGAAAGCACAATCTCATATTGTATAGACAACACCATACAATTTCAAAACTATTCTGAAGAGAAGCCAGCTTTACATTGGTAATACGACTACACTTATATGAAGTTCTACAACAAGCAAAACTAAACTGTAGTGTCAAGAAATCCTATCAGCAATGACCTCTCAAGGGAGTACAGATTGTCTGTGGGGACTATCCGTGGTGATGCTAAAAGTTATACCAAGACCAGGGATTGAATTAAATAGTTGTTATTAATTATCATCATTCAATAAATATTCCTAAAATGTGTGAAGTGTTTAATGATCAGTATTTCTATTGTATATAATATTGATATCTAAAGATAAACCTACAAAAAAAGATAAGCCTACAATTAAAATTGATATAAATGATGAGAAAATGAACTTGTTTCTGGAATTTACTGTCAAATACATAAAAATAAGATCGACTGATAGAGTGTAGAATAGAATAATACATACGAATAAACAAGGTAAATTACTAATGTAACATTTAAGTGGAAAGTAATGGAAATTATCATAAGAGCCCTTCAGCTTTTGACATACATGAAAATTTCAGTACTAAATTTCTAGAAAGGAAATCGACTTTCCACTTTTAAGAAAATCTCAAAAAAAGTAGTGCCATAGTCTCTCTAGTCAGCATCAACATCTTGCTTATTATTTTACATGTGAAGAATTCCATTAAATTCAGGCACAAATAAATATTTCCAACCACAACCATTTCATTTATATCATTTTGGAAGAACTGCCTCGTGCAATTAAACATGTAAACAGATGAGATATAAATATCAGTACAAAGCAAAATTATATTGCTTGTTTAGGATACAACTATAATTAACAACTCAAATGAAAGAATTACAGCAATCTTTTCTAGAAACAATGGGAAATTTAAGTTGACTTATTATTAATACACATAAATGTATAATCATAATTTAAATTTAATATAATACATATAAAATAATCAGTAAGAAAGGAAACATTGTAATAAAAACTATCAGTTAGAAAACAATGAGTTATGTTTTCAATAGAAACAATATTAAAAACCTAGAAAAAACTTCATTTATATGCAATAAAACATAGAAAGACACAATAATCAGAATATATATATATATATATATATAGAGAGAGAGAGAGAGAGAGAGTAATTGAAATGAAGAAACTTTCTGTTTTTAGCTACAATATTTTTTTAAAAAGTTTTAAACATTTTTAGTCTTTTGAGACAGGCTTTCACTACACTCTTCAGGCTGTCCTTGAACTCACCATGTAGCTCGGACTGGCCTCAAATTCACAGTGAAACTCTTGCCTCAGCCTGGGATTAGCACAAGTCCTGGGATTATAGTCATGCAGTATATTCAGCAGTTACAAGTTTTTTAAAATGTTTATTTATTAATACATGTTTGCAGTTCACACAGCCAGCAGTCATCTGGGGGAGTGATTACACGTACACGCTACAGCTTGGTTTTTCTGGTCTTCTTCTCCTTGCCTCCCTCTCCTCCCCTTCTCTTCTGGCTCCTCTATCACCTTTTTCATACTGTTGATATTATTTGTCTTAGCTCTTGCTATGGCATGTGAAAACTTAAAACTATTGGGATTTCAGTGTTTTTCAATTTAAACTAAAAATCTATATAGATTAATATCACAAGAGGATACTATAAGAATCCTTGGCAAAGAAATAAAGTCTAAATATGTATACAACTTCATGACAAAGTCATAAAATAAAACTAAACGGAATCCGAACAGCTGATAATCTTTCTTTTTTTTCTTTCTTTCTTTCCTTTTTATTTTCTTTTTTTCTTTTTTTTTAACACAGGGTCTCACTTTGTAGCACAGGTTGGCCTTGAATTCACTTATGTACCCCAGGCTGGCCACAAACTCATTGTGATCCTCCTGCCTCAGCCTCCCAAGTTCTAGGATTACGGGCATGTGCCACCAAACAAGGACAATAGTTAGACTTCTTATAAAAGCCAGTCAGGAGGGAAATCTGTGCTTTACCACATATTCATAGGGACCACTGCTGTCAGTAACACCATTCTAGAAGGCTCCTGTCACAATAATTCAGTTCTGTGAGCAATTTAGTCATCCATCTGGGCTTAATGGCCCTATTCTCAAGGCATGTGTAATCCAGCTCATAAACGCTCAACCTTTCCAGTCTCCCCCTGTGTTTCTTTTCTTTCCTCCACCTTGCTTCCTTCACTTTCTTAATATTTGCTATGCTTTTTACTAAAGCAACAAAAAACATCTGCTTACAAGTCACAGACCCATAAACCACCCACCACCACCCTTTATGGATTAAACTTGCTCATTTCTTTTTTTAAAGTTTTTTTTTTTTCAATCTTTTACTCATGTATTTATTTGGGACAGGGTCTCATTGCACCACGCAGACTCATAGTGATCCTCCTGTTTCAGCCTCCCCAGTGCTGGTATTACAGGCATGTACAACCACACCTGGGTTTGGTGACTGGCATCACATGCCCAGAATGGAATGTGGTACCAGGGATCGAACCCAGGTCCTTGTGCCTGCCAGGTAGGCACTTAAATTAATGAGCTATCTCCCTAGTCCCATATCCATTTTTTAAAAATAAAACCCGGTAGGCCACCAGTCGGGGCCCCATTCCTCTGACCTCTGTCACCACCCGGTGAGGCAAGCAGTCGACCCTTTCCGACTGGGGGATCTTGGGACACTGTGGAGTAAACGAAGAACCTGCACAGAAATTAAAGGACAAAGTCAAAAATCTGTAGTGTAAGCATGGCCACGGAAAGGAAAGTGACAAAGTGACAGACTTTCAGTAGGGTCTGCAATCCACAAATCACTGAGAGCAGGTATCTGTATTTCCATACAATGGTTTATACGTCTCACAGTGTTGAACCCACTTGGGTTGGGGTGGTTTGTTTCTTTGTTTGTTTTGCTTTGTTTCTTTGATTTTTAGAATCATAACTCACACACCATAATTTTTTCAAGTGACTGCTTAGTTTGAAGATTTGTTTGTTTGCTTGCATGCTTTTTTTTTTTTTTAAGACAGGGTCTCACTGTGTAGCCCAGGCTAACATCAAATTTGCAGCAATCCTCCTGCATCAGCCTCCTAAATTCTGGGATTACTGATATGTGCCACTACTTCCAGCTTTCATTTTAATTTTTCTTCATCTCTTTCTTGCAGTATGTAATGATTACGTTCATTGTGGGGAGGTGGTACACATATAACATGTGCAAGCAATAACCACCATATAATGCTCTCATTGCTCTGTTTTAAAAAAAAAAATCGCATTCCTATTCCTTTTTTTCTGTCTCCTTGGCAAATAACAATCCAATCTTTTTTCTCCGTTGATTTTCCTAGTCAGGAACACTTCACATAAGCAACATAATATGTGTCCTCCACGTCCAACTTCTTTCACTAGCTATAACGGTTTCCAGGTTCTTCCATGTTGCCATGTGTATCAGTGCTTCATTCCTTTTTTCTTTTTAATTTTTAAAAATTATTTATTTGCTCATTTATTTATTTATTTCGTACAGGGTCTCACTAGGCAGCTCTGACTTGTAGTGATCCTCCTGTGTCAACCTCTCCAGCAATGGGATTACAGTTGTGTGCCACCACCACACCCGTACTCGGGGCCGGGGGGGCGGGGCCGGCATGGCATGCTGTACCAGGCATCGAACTTGGGACCTTGTGCTCGTCGGCAGGCGCTTAGAATGCCACGCTATCTCCCCAGCCCCTCATTCCTTTCTATAGCTGATTCCTAGCTCATTATGCACCTGTAAAACGCTCTGTCTCCTTGTCAGTCCACGCACATTTGGATTTCCACTCTTTGACCAGTGTGCGTAACTGCCGTGAGCGCTCAACTCACGTAAAGCTGCGTGAACGTGCTTTCAGCACCCTTAGCTACATGAGAATGGAGTTGCTAAACCACGCGTTTATCTTTCACATTTTGAGGAACTGCCAAACATTTTTCCAAAGTGACTGTGATATTTTATGTTCTTCCCTCCAAGCCTGAGGATTCCAATGCTCTTGTAACCTAAACAGTACTTGCTATTGTTTTTATTATAGTCATTCTACTGAGTCTGAAATGGAATCTCATTGTTTTTATTTGTGTTTTCCAAATAATTGATGTTACTGAATACAGTCCATATGCTAGGAGCATCTCAGTAGGGAAAAACTTATTTAAATTCTTTTTTTTATTTTAAAATTCAGATATTTTTCTTTGTCTTTTTGAATTGTAGTGTTTCATTACGTGTCCTAAATGTTAGGCCTTTGCCAGGGATGTCATTTGCAAGTACATTTCCAGATTCTGTGGATTATTCTTTCACTTTTTGGAGGATGTCCTTCAAACCATAAAGTTGTCAGTTTTGCAAAGTCAGTTTGCCTAACTCTTCTTTGGTTGTATATTTTGGGTATTATCTAACAAACTGTTCCCTGACCCAAAGTCACAGGTAGTTATTCCTGTTTCTTCTTGGAACTTCATGGTTTGGGGTGTTGGTTTTAGGTCTTGGATCTATTTTGACTTACTTTCATGAATACTGTCAGGTAGGACTCCTTTATCATTTACTTTACATATAGATATCCAGTTAACTGAGTTACACATCTAGGGTTGTTTTGTTTTGCTTTGTTTCTTGACCAGTTATGCACAACTACATCTAGGGTTTTTGTTTGTTTGCTTGTGTGTGTGTGTGTGTGTGTGTGTGTGTGTGTGTGTGTGGTGTGTTTGTGCACCTCTGTTTGGTTTTGTTCTACTCATTTCCAGAAAATTTTGATGTAGACTTGGGGCATAGCATTGGCCTCATTTAAAATACACACTTTCACTCATATTCAGTCATGCTTATTTTTAGCCTTCGTCAAAGTTGTCAAAGTTCCCCTGCATAACAACAGAGGTAGGCTAGACTGGGCGTGGTGGCGCATGCCTGTAATCCCAGCTCTTGGGAGGCTGTAAACAGGAGGATCACCATGAGTCCAATCTAGTAGTGAGACCCTGAACACCCTGTAGATCCTTCCCTAAAAATACCAAAAAAAAAAAAAAAAAAAAAACAGGACTTGGTCAGTGGGTTCCTTCAGACACTCAAAACACAAGATTTCATCTGATACTTCTTTCAGCAGTTTCTATGGGCATAATAGGTTATCTTTTCTATCTTTGGACTCATTCAAAAAACCTCCCAAATGGTCTCTCTACTATGTTTGTGGATATGACCTTAATGTACGTGCATCTATTTGTTTAAAAAGGAAAGATTTAAGCATAAAACCTGAAATTACAAAATTTCTAGAGGAAAACATGGAAAAAGCTTCATGACATTGGTTTTACCAATGTAATTGTTTATTCTTATTTTTTAAATTTTTATTATATTTTCTTCACATTCTGTAGGGATTTAAGTTTATCAATACTTGATGAAAAATAATCTGTTTCATGTCATGTCTAAGACATTTGATATTCAGACAGATAGTGAGATTAAGCTCAACTGCCTATGTTGTAGAGTAATAATATCATTAAACTTCTCTTCTGGAGAGTTAACAACTTAAGTTTGCAAACCAAAAAATATAGTAAAAGAAGGGCTACAAGGACAGCCAACATTTTGGCCCTAGTCTTTCAAGGTCAGTGACGACCCAGAACATAGGAGAACCTGTACTGTAACTCAGTTGTGTCCCAAATTTTCTGATCAAGGAGATTATGGGGCTACAGAGGAAAGTGATTTACGATGTAGAATGTGCCTAAGGAGCGTCTCATGGTCATATTTTGATTTTGAGAAAGGGTCAAAGATAGAATGGCACCAGGCCAAGAGTAACAGTGGATGATCACGTGAAATCTTGACAAAACATTGTCATAAGTATTTGGTGTTAACTCAGGACACCAAGACAGCCATAACTGAGCAAGTAAAAACATTCACCTCCAGAACTGCTTCAGAAAATGGCAGGATTATGGGATACTTGTGTTTGAAACAAGACAGAGTGCTTGGAGAAATATTAATAACAATGTGGTTTTTACTGTAATTTTTTTTAATTTTTCATTTAAACATTTGCTGTGGGTTTTTTTTTTTTTTTTTTGCCACATCTCATATCTGGAAGGAAGTAAATTTCCAAATTATATAAGGAACTCAGAAAATTCTATGGTTGGAAAATGAACTGTCTACTTTAGGATGACTAACACATTTGAGCAGATGTTTCTCCAAAGAATATGTACAAATGGATAACAAGTATGTGAAAAATGCTCCCCGTCACTGATTGTCAGGGAAATGAAATTAAACCCATACTGAGATATCACCTCACACCTGCTAGGGTGGTTGTTGTGAAAATAAAATGAATAAAATGAGGAAGGCAAGAGGGAGCAGGAAGGAAGGTGAACATGATCCAGTATGGGTCTACATAGGTACATAAGTGCCACACTGAAAGCCACAAACCCGTACAGTCAATAGGTGCCAATAATTACAATGAAAACAACTGTTGGCAAAGATGTGAAGAGATTGAAACTTGCACACCTTTGCCAAGAATTCAACACAGGTACAGACACTATGAAAACAATATGAGGTATCTCGAAGTATTAAAATAATTTACCACATAAACTCTGAAATCCCACTTCTGAATATTTATCCAAAGAATTGAGTCAGAATATTAAAGAGGGCCCAGAGAGATAGCTCGGTAGAATAAGTGCTTGCCTGGCAAGCGCAGGTTCCTGAATTCAATCTCCGGTATGGCAAAAAAGGAAAAGGAAGGAATATTAAAGAGGTATTATCCCACTCATATTAACTGCTTCACCGTTATCGATAGCCAAGAGATATTTTTGAAAACCTATATTTCTACTAAAGGAGAAATGGATAAGAAAATGTGATATACATGGATGGATAGATAGATAGATAGATAGATAGATAGATAGATAGATAGACAGACAGATAGATAGATAATGCAATTTTATTTAGGCTCCTGTAACATGTAGCAACATGGGTGAACCTTGAGGACACCAGGCTAAGTGAAATAAGCCTGTCACAGAAGGACAAATACTGCACTATTTCCTCCATAAGAAATACCCAACACAGTCAAGCTCATAAGCAGAAAGTAGAATAGTGGACGTTTGGTGTTAGGGAAGGGAAAATGGATAATTGCCAATAAACAGATATTTCTTATATGACTAATAAGTTACATAGCTCTGATCTACATTGTTCCTGTAGATAGTGATATTCATATATACCCAACAATCTGTTAGGAATGTATACTTCATTTTACATGTTCTTGCATAATGATAAAAAATGAAACTTGCTTTTTAACCCATGCAAACATCTTCAAAAATATCTCACAGAAAAGTAGTACGGACTACTGGACTATCTTGGAATATTTTGCTGAGTTCACACACTTATAATATTCAAATGATGGAACTAAACAAAAAAAGGGGATATAGATTAATGACAATTTGTATCTGTGTATTCAAAATGGTTAGGATAGATATGATATGTAGCTACATTCTCTTAATTCAAGGAATGGAGGGATTTGTTCTGATAGTGTTTGTAAATAGGATATCATGTCTGCATCTTGTACAACAAATAACCACTAGGAAGGCAGTATGCAAATGTGTTAATTATTGAAACTGTCCTACCAATTTGATTTCAAACTGTCTCATTGCTATTTATTTCTCAATAAAATTATGGAAAAAAAAAGAAAAGTCCAGTATGCAAAATGGTGAAATCTGGACCTTTTGTGGATGATTGGAGTGTATGTTGGCGAGAATTCAGGTGTGAAAATTTTATTTTTATTTTGCATAACAGAAAGATCAGAGCCAGGGAGCTGGCTCAGTGGAATAAGTGCTTCCCTGGCAAGTGCAAGGGCCTGAGTTCGATCCCCGATTCCACCGAGAGAGAGAGAGAGAGAGAGAGAGAGAGAGAGAGAGAGAGAGAGAGAGAGAGAGACTGTATACACTGGATAGTTCATCTCTGCTCCCCCCAAAATGTTGGAAAACAGTAGGAATAGGTACAAAGTGATTAGCATCAATGATTTTTCTATTATCTTGGAAAAAGTTGTGTTTCTCCAAGGGAGAAAGATGAGTTAAGGCAATAATGCTCAACACCATCACACCACAGAAAGGGCTGCTAGGTCACAAGAAGATTGACCTGACACACACATTGTAATTTCTCCCTGGGAGTTCTGATACTTGGTGGGTCTGCGTGGAAGGACAGCTGTCTAGTGAGCCTAAGTTTATACCTTGTTAGAATTACACCAAATGGGGCTTGTTAGAATTACACCAAATGGGGCTTCAAAACCCCTAATATTAGGTGGGGGGAAAAAGGGTTTATCTTTAGGATTGACCCAAATTAACTGTGGGTATGGATTTTGAATAAAGCCATGCAGCGACATGCTGAAGAGTGAAGGAATGAAGCAACCTCTTTGGTATCCCCCAAATGTGACCCATTCACCCATCCTTCCAACTCAGCAGTCCAAACATCACCCTTACCTGAAGGATCCTCCAGCACAAGGAACAGCAACAGGATGTCTGCGATGACTGCAATCAGGATGAAGATGATCAGAAGGATTTCCAAGACAGTGAGCTTCCTGGCCATCTAGATGGACACAGATAACCATATTAAGGCAAGCCACAGAGACTATCAGCCGAAGGAATCCATAGGCATCGGGACTAGGATGCAAACTCGCCTACACTATAAGCTGATCACCAGTGTTCCTCTTCACGGAGTCCACAGAACGTCTGCTCCTTGCCCACTGTGTCAACAATTGTGCCTCCAGCACTTCTAGGCCTCTTACCTTTGTCTGCAAATATATTGAGTATTGGCCAGGAAAAGCGTATGGGGCATAAAGCCTCAGAAGGAAAAGTGAAACAACACAGTAAACGCAGTAGGGTTAAGGTGGCTCCAAACCTTTTCCTGACATCACTTTGATCATTCAACTTGTATAATGGAAAAAGGATAAGGACAGAGAGAAAGAAAACTGCAGAAGCTGGTCTCATTCTTTTAACTCCTCATGATGTATAGCTGAGGTGTTCAACTGCTTAGGAGCTACTAATTGTTATAGTTTGTGTCTAGTTGTCCCCCCAAAGCCTCATGCAGTCATGGGGCAGACTTCTAGAGCTGTGATTAATTCATGATCCACTGGGATTATGGGTCTGAGTGCTGCTGGGATTATAGTTTGAATACTACTCCCAGCCTGGGGCAGATAGCCTGAATGCAATTTAAGGGAGACAGACTTGCTTTCTGTAGCCTTTGTTGCTGCTGCTGCTGCTCCTCTTTTTTCCTCTTGTTATTTTGCTGCCTTCCACCACCATGAACTGCTGCTTTCTGCCTGTGCTGCTCTGCCTTGGAGCCAGCTGAGTATGGACTGAAACCTCCAGCAACTGTGAGCTAAATAAACCTTCCTTCATTTTTTTTATATTAATTTTATTGAGAAAGAAGTAGCAATGAGACAGTTTTAAAACAGATTAGTAGGACAGTTACAATAATACATTACATATTGTTGTCTTCATGGAAGTTATTCATAGTATAAGATGCAGACATGATATATTGCCTAAACTATTAGTTCAAAACTTTCTTCTCATTGAACTAAGAAAGTAGCTGTATATCTGTGCTATTTTGTATAAACATATGTATTTTTTTCACTACAAAATTGTTCTTTCTTTCTTTCTTTCTTTCTTTCTTTCTTTCTTTCTTTCTTTCTTTCGGGGATTGAACTACGGCCCTTGCGCTTGCCAGGGAAGCGCTCATTCCACTGAGCCATTTCCCCGGCCCCTTGTCCTTCATTTATATCCCCCTTTTTTGTTTACTTTTGTCAGAAATGGGGCGGATTCCATTGCCATTCATATATTGTAGGTGCATGAATTCAGCAAAGTAACCCAATATAGCCCAGTAGTTCATAATAGTAATGGGTTATCCACATGACTGGCAATGTCAGAAGTTGTCCACTTGAGCCTTTGGGTGCCAGGTATTTGTCCCAGCAATGAGAGAAGAGTAACTGAGACACTAATCCTTTCCACGATTTGGTAACAAAAGCAAACTTGATCCTCACCACCAGCCTGTTACGTGTATGCTCAGAGCACACAAACTCATATAAACTCAATGGGTCACAGTAACCTTGGCAATCATGTATGGATTTAAATGTTCATATTTGCCATATTAATAATTTTTTCTTGTTCTTTTTTAATTTCTGAAGTTTTTAAATCAATTTTGAATGTTTATATCTGGTAATCTGAACAACAAATTTGAAGGTAACATTATGCAATACAGCAACCATTATCATATTCCTATCATTTTGTTGGGTGAAGTTCTGTATCGTTTCTAATGTTTTTTTTTCTTCTTTCTTTCTTTCATTCTTTCTTTCTTAAATATTTTGTATTTCCTTTAGATAATAATAAAAAAGAAAGAAAAATGTACTGACCTGGGCTCAGAGATCTCAAATTCTTGGCCTAGTTGTTGACCTGTGTTTTTCACCTACAAGAAAAGAGATCAGGTTGCAAATATACTCCCCTACAACTTGCTGCAATTATAATAAAGCTAATACCATGTGCCTGGCCACTCTGTGACAGTCCTCAACTTCAGTGGCCTTGGTCCCCATCCTGCTTCCATCATCCGCACACCACAGCTCCAACCCAGCATCTAGAATGCTCCAGAATTGTCCCACTTTTGAAACCCTAAACCCGATTTCTCATTCACTGGTCCCACGCACTGTCCTCCTGCTGTCCAGTTGCCTTCCTTCAGTCTTCCTTCTTCTTTGATCATATTAGGATTTCTGTTCTTTTTCCACTTCCTTTTGGGCTCTTAGTCCTCTGGACTTTTATCCCTACTGATGTAAGCCTCGTAGTCTATTGCTTAACTTTGCCCCCTCTTCTGCTCACTGAATCTGTATGAGGAGACAATCAAGGGAAACGGCTGTCTCTATGTGGATGTCCTGGATCAATACAGAACCCACTCAGGCCCATAATTTCAACAAAAAAAAGCAGTGGGCCTGCAAACTGACTAATGCTGTTATTAGCTCCTCTCATTGTTCCCAGAAATGAATTAGAAAAATCAAGGGGCCTGCCTGATAGCTCAGTTGTCTAAGTGCCTGCTCATGCAAAAGCAGTCAGGTGCAGGATGCCACGGTTTGATCCCCAGCTCCACATGCCTTACCAGACTTGCCCTTAAGGCAGCCTGAGCCAGAAAAAAAAAAAAATTTCCTGCTCAGCTTTTAGGGCCAGCTAAATAGCTCAGTAGATTAAAGCACCTGCAAGCAGGCCCAGGGGCAGAGGATTTGATCCCAAGTCCTGCCCAAGCCGGCCCTGCCCCAAGGGCATGCTGAGATGGCAATTGAGACTGGAGTGGTGGAGTGCGCCTGTAATCCCAGCTCTCAGGAAGCTGTAAACAGGCGGATCACTACAAGCCTGATCTGGTAGTGAGACCCTGAACACCCTGTAGACCCTTCCCTAAAATACAAAGAAAAAAAGAAAAACAAAGAAAATCAAGCCTTCTTTTTTAGCCTTACTGCTGTCGCCCACTGTCCTAGTTTTACCTAATATAATCTCTAATGTAAAGTAAAGAGTAACTGTTCTGCAGAAACTCTCTCCCAAGCATTTCTATAAATACTATACATAACTAGGCAAATTATTATCTTTTCCCATACATTTTCAGAGAAAGAGTTTACTCTTTGTCTAAACATAAATCTTACATCCAGTCTCTGGCTCTCATAGTCACTGAATTTCTCAAAAATCTTGTTTTACCAATGATACACCCTTTCACTGGCATTACAGTCCTCTCTCTCCCTCCGAGCTTGTTTTTTCCCCTCTGAAGTGTATCCTGTCAGCCTAAATTGTTGATGACTCTTTTCTAAGTGCTGTTTTAATATTATTTTCCCTTCATAGTTGGCTTTGAAACAAGATCATGATGCACAGTGCCTATTACCTTCCTCACATATCACTGGTGTGCCTTGTACTTCCTGCGCTCTGTTGGAACTGCTCTTACCATAGTCATGAGTGGCTTAGCTGTTAAATACAATAGGCACTTAATCACCTAGAACTATCAACCACCCCCTCTTCCTTGAAACTCTCTTCCCACCTCAAAGCCTTGATATCAATACCATTTAACCTCAAATTTCCATCCACAGTTCTGGCGTCTTTCCAATTGATACATGTTGCATCTCCCATTTCATTATATATTAACATACTTCATATTTTCACAGAAGTCCCCTTTTAAAACTTCCTCCTCTGCTTGAACAATCCCATCTATTCACATTACTTTATAACATATGTATCAACAATCAGACCTGTATGTCTCCCCAGAGGTTTAGATTCATGTATTCAATAGCCTGCTTGGTGTCCTCCTTGAGTATCTAAAAGGCTTAACGAAAAAGGAACATTTGAACATGAAACAATTCCTCCCAACACTCCAGTCGGTTTTTGCCAATTTTGCTAAGTCAACTGCCCCTCAAATAATTAATAGACTGGGGGAAAGAACTATGTTTTCTTTAAAGAAAAATACCAGGGAATCATTTTGACTCCTCTTTGTTGATTCTTAATACAGTTCAACGAGACTATAGTCCACATATCTTTGGGTCATTTCCCCCATTATCCAGCACACACAGGGTCATGAATATCTCTTATTTTCAAGTCTTAATGCTGCTTTAGTTAGGCCATAAACTTTTAAGCTTGCGGGAAAATTATTCATGATACCCCCTACACTCACCTGTCTCTTATATTTGCACTACACTAAACCACTATTCAGGCAACAGTTTGTAAATCAACATGCCCGGTTTCCTGACTGGCTCTTCTCTTACCTTCCATTTCCTTGCACACTGTTTCTTCTATAGACCAATGCCATGACTATTTCTATAGCTAAGGGCACCTTTAGTTTAGTGTGTGTGTGTGTAATAATCCAAGGAAAGAAGCACTTTAATACTGAAATGGAAAAGAAGAGCAAAAACCACACATACTTTGCCTAGGAAGCTTAGGAAAAACCTTCCAGCTCTTGTAGAAATGCGGGTCTAGAATTGAAATTGAGGTTTTCTGTCTAACTGTTGTTGCCTATTAACTTAAATCTATCCAGTGTCCTTCTTCCCATCTAAACTACTCAGAACTTGTATTCTATTCCTCATTAAATATATATCACACTAAGTTCTCATAATGCTTCTACATTTAAGTTGATCATGTAGGCACCATAATGCCCCATTTATAAATGAATTAATTATAATTTTATCACTATTAGTTGTGGAGTTGAGGCAAACTCTGAGTTATCACTTCTTAAACTACTATTTGAGTTCTCTCTCCACAATATCTGCCAAAGTATGGGGCTTTAAGGTATAAGGTACAGCTCTGCAATGGTGGAATTTCAGGCAGTGAAAGAAATCTCAGGGACTTACCTTAATCATTCCTAATGCTTGGTTTATTTTCTTTTACCCTTGGCCCACAACTAAGTATCTCAGCAAATACATTGGCCATCAATTATCTTCCTTTTCCAAGTATATTTTCTTTCCAGAGGGAAAGTTTTCTTTCCAGCCTTTACAAACCCCAATCAGGCACTTGTTCAACAGTTCCTTAACCTCCAGAGGAAGCAGGATTAAGTCAATAGTTTAGGAAGTTTTGGAA